CTCTTCCATAACTCACATCCTGGCAGCAGTAATGACCTACAGCCAACATACTGAGCTGCAAGTGGCAGCAGCAGAGGCTATGTTTCCAAATCCACAACAATTTTAGCTGCAATGGCTGTAAATGATATTGTCTCTCAGCGGGGCTGAGGCAACAACTCTTCACCTACCATAACTAGGTACATAGGAATTTAATGGAAAACTAACCTACCACATTATTTTTCACTTTGTCCTCAGCAGGAGCTGCTTGTTAAAACAATTATTAAACTTGGGGAAAGCATTAAAGTCTACTCAGAGCAAAGTGGAAAGGAAATCATATTACACAAATATAGAATTTTGCTTTGATTTTTCTGTTTAGTTGCAGGTATCTTTCACTTTCTCAAATGTCAAAAGGGAAATAATTATACAATTCAGAGAGATGTTTTTATTTTATGCTTGAGAGTTAAAAACACCTGATAATCCAACTCTCATTCACCTGCTTAATTGTTACAGCTCATAATGAGCAATATACAGGAGCTGTGCTGGCACAGATCTGCTGTCAGGTCCCATCCAGAAGACCAGGTTTTAACTGTACAGTCTAAGAGCAAACCTAAACAGAAGTGAAAGAACTGCTTCATTGTTATAAATACATTTACAATCTTGACACCAACCTGCTTGTACTAGCATATCAACATATGAAACCAAGTAACCAAGGAATTCGGGAAACAGTATTCCGTTACAAAAAAGGCTCCAACTATTTTAACATTAGCTTAGTGAACTTTTTTTGTTTCAGACAGGCCAAAAAAAGTTTTAAGTGTATTTCACATGAGCAGGTGTTAATGAACAACATTTTAATGTTTGGGACTGGAAGGTACATATTCCACCTAACATGCAAAACAGCTCCGATATTAAGCAAGCATCACACTGTCTGGAAGAAAAGATGACAGCGAATGGTCTAGAACACCATCTTTCCCACCCACATACAAAACTACCTTTTCATTAATAAACTAGACATTTTCATTCCATCAATCTTACCTTTGTTGCAGTAATAGTTGCTTTTCTTTTTCTTTAAGAATTTTTGCTAATTGAGCTGTCCTCGAAGGTCTATGCAGGTATTTTCTCTTCCCTGTACATTCATACGTCCAATGTCCAAACTCTAAACATTTTTGACATCTTACATGCTGCTTGTTTGCCTCCCTATAAAAATGCAGAAATGCTTAAGAGACTGATTCCAAGTCTGTTCTACCTACTAAAAAAAATTTTTTTTTTTAATCAGACAGATTCTTAACAGCATATGTAGTTATGATTAAAGCAGACTGACATCCATGGGTGCTTTAGCAATTATACATCTTAAATCAGGACAAGAACAGTAACAGAATTCAGGCAAATACATTTCCATTTATTAAAACATTCTCATATCAACTATTCATGAAAGAGAACAAAGAGGCTTTTGGTCTATTCCAGAGCTTCAGCTTAAGTCATCTTCTGCTAAAGTAGCAAGTGCTTAACTACTGACATGAACTGTCACCACACTCATCAAATGCGCCCGAATTTCACTTTTGGTTTTATACTAGCTGCTGGTTCACCTACCTTGCAGTCTTCCCCCACTCTTAAGATTCCATAATTTCCCACCCCCTTCAGATACTGTAAACAACTTAAACATTTTGAAAAATACTACTAGGATCATTCTCTGTCGGTGACCAAAGATTAATCCTACCACCAAAATCACATTTTGATCAACCTAACTGGCACAGCTTTTAGCATAAAGAGATTAAAATTGTGCAACTGTTATTGGGAATGATTACGCTGCATACAAATTGTTATGATCCAATAATCGCACATGGTTCTAGCTCGCTTCAGATAAGTAATTGATACTATGGTTTGGAATACTGCTAGAAAAAAGCAGGCAGCTTCATTTCCAAATCCTAGAATTTAACACAAGTACCAAACCGCCAAATTCTCACAGACAGCCTAGGATTCTGAGCAAGTAAAACAGAGATGATTGTAGTTGTAGCTTTGAATTTACTACGATTCATTAAAGGCTGGCAGAAGGTTTCTCATAAGACCAGTCAGATTCTCGCTCACTGTGCAATGCAAATCAAGCAGGACTTCACTTACTGCTCTGTGCCATCCAGATACCTGAAGTATTTAGTGAGGGTTTTACATCCACATTTCAGTTTTCACACCGTGATAAAATCCTCTGATCATTTTTAGAAGCCAGTTAAGGGAGAAAACATGCATTTTCATATTCTAGCTCTTACTCCACTGTTCTGAAGCTTTGCAAAAGCTGTTTTGCTATCTTCTCACAGACACCCTCCTCCTTTACAAACAGGGGAACTCATACAGTGGTCAAGTGACTCACTTAAGGTCAGAATCACAAATTAGTTTTAGAGCCAGGACTGAAATCAGGACTTTGGAGCTCCCATACAGTTCACTGCAACTGCTGTAACTGATTTCCACCTTTATCATTTTTTCCAAATGCCAAAATACTAATTTTTCAAGGCCGGCCAGCCCACCTACACTACCTGAAAATAACAGCCCTGTCTTAACTAGGAGGAGGCTCCTAGACTGTTCATTTAGTATTTAGAAAGCATGAAATGACAGACCTGTAGTGAGCACCTTTCTCTCAGGAGTTGCAGCTTTTCAAGGCAAGGTGTGAATTGCTTCTCTTTCAACTCTAGCCTTCACCTTTTGTGACAGTTCTGATGTAGCTTGAAGGGAATCTTGTTCTGAACATCCATTGCTTTTTCAATGCAAAGTGTATTTGGCTTCATAATCTAGCCTTAGAAATACTAATCTAAATCAGCACTAGAAAACTAATTTGACTTGCAACCTATGCTGCACCATTAACTCCAACTTGACCATTAGTAACACACAAAAAACCCCAATGTCTTTGAACGGTTTGCTTCGTCTTGCCTTGGACTTCTGGCTCTGCCACAAGAGTTACATATAAGCAGAATGATGATACTCCCTCCTCTTCATCAGCATACAAACCCCAAAAAGTGAATGTTCTTCTGTCTTAAGACTAGTCCAGACCTGTCTTCCCAGGAACAGAATGGAAGTTTAAAGCAACAGCAATAGAGCTCAGTATTTCCAGGGGCTTAGTACTACTCTCACGACCAGGGCAGACAATTCTATGCAAGATAATACGATAAGCTCAGGCAACGTAAGTAATTACTAGCAAAACAGATCAAAATAGCTCAACAACTACATATCTATAAATACCATATCAGTACTAGCAAGTTTTAACTCTAATGAAAAGCAAGAGACTGAAGTAAACTTTTCACAGGGATCAATGACCACAACCTAGAAGCAAAGGCTGGCAGATGTACAATTCAGCAAAGACCCGTCAAGCACAGAGAAGTCATAACAAGAAATGTAAGAAACCATTCCTTGGCTCATAATAAAATAGCAACTTAGAAGAACAACTGTTCCATAAGTACTTTGAAATTCCAAGTTACTTTTCATCGGAAAAAGAGGAAAGAAATTAACAATAAAAAAGGAAAGGGAATGCAGAAGTCATCCATATTCTATTCCAACTCTTATGATCAGACAATAAAAACCAAACACACTCCAAAAACTGAAACACAAGAAATAAATTATTCCAAGGAAGAAAAAAAATCCAAACCAACAAATAAACAAAAAGCCAACACAAGGAATACATGAGAGTGGAACAGAGAAATTTGCTGGACTTAACGTAAACAAGCAAAAATGTTGGCTTTTCCTCATTTCAGTGTTTGGTAATCAGATTCCTTTGGTATTGAGAGAATCACTTCAATGCAATGTCCATATCTGAGCAAAGGTTGCTTTCTTTTTTTTTTTTTTTCTTTTCCTTCTCTTTTACAGTTCCATAAATGTATCATAGCATAAACCCAGAACTTATGTTTTTCTTAATCTGACCGTTGAAATTCTGCAATGGAGATCGGCGAACACCCGCGTCACAGGATTTTACACACTTCACTGAGAACCACGGCATGCCGACACCTGCAAGGTCGCCTTTTCCCAAAACGCTGCTAACTACCCTCAACAGCAAAAGTTTGCGGGCGTCCTCTCCCGCTCCACAACCCCGCTGTCGTGCCCATCGTTTCCCGGCACGGAGGGCACTGAGCGGGTCACGGCGGCCGCCTTTCGCGGCGGGTTCCTTACAGACCGGCAGCACTCCGCCCAGGACGGGGAGCGCCTGCGAGGAGGGAGCTCCGGGCCCTCAGAAGGCGCCGCAAACCCACGGCT